ACGGAGTGAGCTCCCGTCTCTGGCCCCAGCTCCTGCCAACCTAGCAGTTTGAAAGCAAGAAATTGCAAGTAGATAAATAGGTACCACTTCAGTGGGAAGGGAACAGCGTTCCGTGCACCTTGGTGTTTAGTCATGCCGGCCACATGACCACGGAAACGTCTTCGGGCAGTGCTGGCTCTTTGGCTTTGAAACAGAGATGAGCACCACAACCCTAGAGTCGGATTGGACTGGCTTTCGAGCAAGGGAACCTTTACCTTTATCCCAGATCCTACTCTAACCCTCTAACCACCATGTAGAAGCCCATCCAGGGGTAAAGTAATTCAAGTTTCATACCAGTACTATAGGGCAGAGTATCATTTTCTTACCTGTATTCAGGGGTCATTTCGCAGAAAAAGAGGTGCAGGAGCTCATTAGCATAACTCATTAGCATAACTCATTTGCATATGCCACACCCCCTGGCATCATCGGAAGTATGTCAGAAGGCAACACCCACCGCTCTGGCTCCACTGGACTGTTTTGGATTGCTAGCTATTGGTGGAGGGATGTGCAGATCTGTCCTCGCAGAGGAGGGAGAGCTCGTACCTGAATAAAACTTGGTCTTAAAGGTGCCACTGGACTGTTTTGGATGGCCGGCAAGTGCAGGAAAGTGTGTGGCTGCTTGTGGGTCAAGGAAGGTGGTGTGGAGGATGTGCATGGCCTCAAGCAGGTAGGGGCCAGGGCAGTGACAGGGCAGGGCACAGGAGGCAGGACGGAGCTCCTCATAGGTGTCAGAACCCACAGCCAGCAACACGCTTATCAGAAAGGTAATACTTTATTGCAGAGCTATAGATGCGTTGACAGAAGTACTGTTAAGAATGGCGTCACCCCTACAAGCATAATGGGATATAGGGCATTCGTATGCACACCCCCCACTATAGGCCAATTAGCCATATTCCCGCGCGTGGGAGAAGGAGCCTCAGACAGTTAGAGCCGAGGCTGGGAACCGATAGTGCTCCCATGGTTCTCCCAGGCCCAGACACTACACCACCTGCACCGCTTAGAGATAACAGCGTTACAGCATAGAAGAAGCACAGAAGGAATGCAGCAGTAATTAATACACAGTAAAGGGGAAGCCTATAGCGTCCACAACTATCATGGCAGCATAGCTGACATTCTGCCCTCCCAAAATTCAGCTTCTCCCGACCACCCTGGGAGGCCTCCTGGGCAGTCTGGGGGATCTTCCAGTTTGTCCGGGAAGTCGCTACGGAACGTCTGCGGCAACTGAGGGGCCCGAATATCCCCTACGTCCACCCATTCGAGGTGCTGGGGTCCAAAATCCTACCATTCCACCAAATAGAACAATTTCCCACGTTTAAGCTCAGAGTCCAAAATTTTAGAGACCTCATAATGTTCCTCGCCCTCAATTAAGATAGGAGGGGGCACCGACTTCGATGGACGCCATGGACTGGAACCAGAATCCCATTTCAGGAGGCTGAAATGAAATACAGAGTGAAGTTTCCTCAAATTCTTTGGCAGATCTGAGTCCACAGCGACATCATTGAGCACCCTTTTCACCTTGAAGGGACCAATGTATTTCCACCCCAGTTTTCAGCTAGGGCGCAACACCTGAATGTTTTTTGTAGATACATAGACTGAGTCGCCAGGCTGCAGAGCCCATCCCCCCACCCTTCTCTCATCAGCCTGGGACTTGTACGTTTCCTTAGCAGTATTCAAAGTCTTGCAAAGGAGAGGCCACGACTCCTTTAACCGTTGACACCATTGTGCAGCATCCCCCACCCCCAAGTCCTTTCCCCCCTCCAGGAAAGGTACCGGCGGGCTGTCATAACCATATAAAGCCTTAAATGGGGAAAGCCCAATCGAAGAATGGCAGAGGCCAAGGCTGGCATGGGGACAGGCAGAGCCTGGGCAGGCTGGGTCCCGTGGCCCAGGCAGTGGTGGAGCAGCTTGAGGGCCAGCTTGTGGCAGTGCTCCACTGGGTTGGCCAGTGGGCTGGGAAAAGCGAGGGGGAGCTGCTGGGAGCAAGGGGTGGGGCTTGTTGCATGTGCCCACCCTCTGGGCTCCTTACTGCCGGAGCTCCGATCCTGTGTGCTCCTGCAGGAAATGAGCCCTGCCTGTATTTACTCATCACCCCTGAGACCCCATACATTTGTAGGTGCTTTAAGAACAAAAGGGTTACCATGCATAGTTCCCTCGAAGCTGTGCTAGGGTGTGCTGGCACACAAAATTGTAACAGGCAGCACAAGGATTACTGCTTTCAGCCCATATGCTCATTTCCCCCTCCATTGGAATCAATGGAGGATGGGGGCGCCTCCTTCTGTGGCCCATAGAACTGGATCCCCTGGCCCAATCTTTTTGAGACTGGAGGGGGTGGGGTTGAAAAACAGGCCCCCGCAGAGTCCCAGATACCCAGGGATTGATTCTCCATTACAGTTTACGGAAACCTTTGACTATAATGGAGCCAGAAGAATGATTTTTTTTTTGCACACCCCTATTATGCTTTTCATTTGTAAGGAGCTGCGGTGGCTCAAGGGGTTAAGACGCTGAACTGCAGGCTTTGGAAGGTCAGTAGTTCAGCAGTTCGAGACCCGGGTGCCGCATGATGGAGTGAGCTCCCATCTCTAGTTCCAGCTCCTGCCAACCTAGCAGTTCGAAAGCAAGAAATTGCAAGTAGATAAATAGGTACCACTTCGGTGGGAAGGGAACAGCGTTCCGTGCGCCTTGGTGTTGAGTCATGCTGGCCACACGACCATGGAAACGTCTTCGGACAGTGCTGGCTCTTCGGCTTTGAAATGGAGATGAGCACTGCAACCCTAGAGTCAGATTCGACTGGCTTTCGAGCAAGGGAACCTTTACCTTTACCTATGATTTGTAAGCTGCCTTGAGTCACAGGGAAAACTGGGTTATAAATATTTGAATAAACAAGTAGTTTGGGCAGGTTGATGACATTTAAACAACTTCCTGTTTGTTAGGCTAGGCAGGGTTCTGACAATAATTGTTCCTCTTCAGTTATGCTTGGCCTGCAATGCTGGTTGTCATATTTCACTCAAAAACACACAAAGTAGACTACAAGAGGTGTCGTCCCCCCCACAGGTGCTGGTATGTTTTCTAAGGCTCAGCACAGGGTGACAGTCCAAGGCCAGGTCTACCAATATAGTTGACTGAAGTAGGTAGACCTGTTCTACAGAGGCCAGGTCTACCAATATAGTGGAAAGGGGTGGGTAGATCTGTTCTCTGGAGACCAGGTATACAAAAATAGTGGAAAGGGGTAGGTGAAATGTGACTTGATTCTGTTTTCTGCTATACTGTTTAAATAAATCATTCTTAAAATGATATAATGTAAAATAATTTATTCTGCAATTTTTACAAGGTTATGGAAATAACCTTCCAAAAATCTAATTTACACGATAGTCAAATGTAGACTCACTCACAACTTTAATGCTACTAGCTTTTTTCACTCACAAGATAGAATTTCTGCTTAAAACACTGTGGAGATTAACAGGAACGTTTGCTACCAGATGTCCTCTTTTTAGAGTACACGTCCTCTGTTTTTGGTGTCCATCCTCTTTTGGGCTCTTGTTAAAAAACGGACGAAAATGTCCTCTTTTTGGGTTGGAAGCTTAGGAATATTCCTAGTTAGTAGCAATTATCACCGTTTAAATAGACGGGGTCTATACAATGAGATCACTTGTTTGAAGTAGTCAGCTGGGAAACATGCTTTTTTGCTTTTCAAAATATGGCCACCCTAGAACAACCAGTGTGGGAAATATACACAGCTGTAAGTGGTTGGATACAGGTGCTCAGATCCTGTGGCCCCCACCTAGCTAAAAAAAAGGCAATTTTGATCAAGTCCTATTAGAAGAACAGAACAATTCTATCCTTATGGTTTCTCTGGGATTTCAGCATTTTTATTGGCAGGAAACCTGTTTATGCGCCGTGTTACTTTGAACTGCAGGCGGGAATTCACAAGGTTGACTGTTCCTCTCTGCCTGCAGTAAACAGGATCACCTTATCCAACCACCCTGGCAATTGCACCCATGAAGGACTGGATGCCACCACCACGTTCCAACCTGGTAGTCAAAAGTGGTACAGCCTAAAAACGGGTTCACCCCTCCGGGCTCTATTTGGACTAGTTCTGCATCACAATCCACACTGCCATCCTATGCAGAGTTGCTCTGTTGAAATTAATGGTTTTGTACTGGAGAAACCCTTGCATTGTACAACAGAAAAAAAGTGTGACCTTTAAGACCAACAAAGTTTATTTCTGGGTATAAGCTTTGGTTGTTTCGTTGGTGTTGGGATTCTGGGATTCAAGATCGATTGTCATTTTGCAAACACAAGAGCCACATTAGTAAAAGAAAAATATATTTACTGCAAAACAAAATAAAGCATGGGTAAGGTACTTTGGCTAAAAGAAATAAAATAAAAAGGTTACATACTTGCAGTTACTCTCAGTACTAAATGCTAACAGCTACATCTTTCTAACTGTGTTGGCTTCTAGAGGGGAGCTTCCCGTCTGGTTCACACAAAGAGCCATAAACCTTGTGAATACATGAATGCTAGATCAAAGCATTTCCACAAACAAGTCGTTAGCTGACCAATACAAAGGTTACAGTTCACTTCATTAGGCTAAACAACTCCCACAAACTTTCCGCAGTAGAATACATTATGTAACTAACATCCTGTTTCCTAACAAACAACACTTAACTCTGTAATGGCTGAAGTGTAAGCAACTTGAAACTCCAACAGTTGGTCATAAAGGTGTGTGTGCACACGAACGCTTATACCTAGAATTAAACTTTGTAGGTCTTTCCACCCTTTTCCCAACTTTGTGGTGCCAACTTTGTGGTGCCCCCTTTGGCCCCGGTGCCCTAAGCACCTGCTTCGTCTGCTTACTGGTTAACCCGCCCCTGCCCTTGCGTGTTCAGGGCACAAGCGCAGGTGTCTCCTCTTCCTCCACCCCTCACCTGTCTCTCTTTTTCCTCCTTCCCCGTTTCTTGCAGGTGCGGGCAGAAAACCAGCCGCCAGCACGGCGGGAGGCAAAGCTCCCCCCGACGCCCTCGCCAGCAGCATCCCCGGACTTTCTCTCCCGGCCTCCTCGTCCTAGAAGACTGCGCGGGGCGGGCTGGGAAAGGCGGGGAAGGGGCGGAGGGGCGGCCCCGACGGCGAGGCGAGGCCCGAAGCAACCGCGGAGGGATCCGGACGGCGGCTGCGGCTCTGAGTCGCCCTTGAAACAAAGCCGTGAGCGGCCCGCGCAGGGACACCACACCGACCTCCGCGGACTCTTTCGCCTTCAAGCCTCTTTGGAGGATTTCCAGAGACACCCGTGGCTCGACGGGGCTTTTGATGCACGCGTGAAAGTGGGGAAGAAACGGCACTTCCAGGAGCAGCCTTCATGACAATGCCAAGGGAAACGGGCGCTATGCCTGGTGGTTTGGGGGCAGTGTTCCCTCTCAGCTGAGTGAGTGTGAGTTAGCTCACAGTTTTTTTAGCCTCCGGCTCACACATTTTCGTCTCAGCGCAGGAAGGAGGGCTCCAGAGCAGACTAATCTGTGCAGCGGCCAAATCGCTCGCTCGCGAATTTCATGCCAGGAGCTCACAAAGTAGAGTTTTTGCTCACAAGACTCCACAGCTTAGAGGGAGCATTGGTTTGAGTGCAGGTCAGAACGTGAAGCCCGGTCGTTGCAACCCTGGACTGCAGCTCGCAGCAGGGCAGGCTCTCTCCTCTGGGTGCACCGACTGCCAGTGGGCGCTGGAAACACCCTTTTCTCCCCCCCCTCCTGCTGCCCCCTGCTGCTTGGGCAGGGGGAGGAAAAACATTCTCCCTAAATATATATGTGTACACACACATTTGGATGATGATGGGTGAAGTGAGTAATTGATATCTATAATTTCTCATTGCACCCATCATCATAGATGGGGGGGGGGTAGCTGAGTTGGTCTGAAGCAACCCAACAAAGTCTGAGTCCAGTGGTGCCTTTATGACCCACAAAGTTTTATTCCAGACATAAGCTTTTTGTGGGCGTGCATGCAGAGGATGCATGCGGTGGCTCAAGTGGTTAAGACGCTGAGCTGCAGGCTGTGGAAGGTCGGTAGTTCAGCAGTTTGAGACCTGGGTGCCACATGACAGAGTGAGCTCCCATCTCTAGTTCCAGCTCCTGCCAACCTAGCAGTTCGAAAGCAAGAAATTGCAAGTAGATAAATAGGTACCGCTTTGGTGGGAAGGTAACAGCGTTCCGTGCGCCTTGGCGTTTAGTCGTGCCAGCCACATGACCACGGAAGTGTCTTCAGACAGCGCTGGCTCTTCAGCTTTGAAACGGAGAAGAGCACCGCAACCCTAGAGTCGGATTCGACTGGCTTTCGAGCAAGGGAACCTTTACCTTTATGCAGAGGAAAGCTTATAGGAAGAAGAAAGCTGTTGGTCTTAAAGGTGCCACTGGACTCATCCAAATGTTGGCCTGGTGAATGCCAGGACTGTAATGACTTTTGCCAGGTTACTGGATCAATATCATTCTGAGCAAGTTTCCCATCTCCCTTTTCCGACCGAGTAGCAAATAGCTTCAGAACTGGGGTGGGAGGGAAGCAAGTGCCTTTTGTGTTAGGGAGGCATGAAGAGACAGGAAGGACACTTTGCTCTCACACTCCCCCATCGGCAGGTGGTTCCTCCCTTCTCGAGTGAGCAGAGCTGCCTTCCTGATGCCAAGTTGCACCGCTCCTTTTGGGCCAGTGGAGATGTAACAATTTTATCTGATTTTATATTTTTTAAAAAACAAACCAATAAAAGGCTAATGACAGTAGAACCTGAGCTTTATTCCTTGCCTAGCCTTTTGTATGTCTTGTTTCAGAAGGGGTGTCGTGTGGCTGTTTTTGCTAAAGACTGCCATCGACGGCCAATCCTAACCAAAATGAATCCCAAATGAAGCTCCATTGATATCGCTGGGACTTCCTATTAGAGCTGAAGTCAATATTTAAATATTGGAAACGAATCAAAAGTTTAAACGTTGAATGAGAATGTTAACATTCAAAATTGAAATATTGAATGTGACGCATCATATAAGAACTTCTCAGAACCTCTCAAATGCTAAGTACCAAAGCTTGCAGTTTTGCCAGAACTGTCAGATAATATCTACCACTTCATAAAACCTACCAGATTTGTAACATTGTACAATCTCACTACAACGATGGGAAACTGTCAAATATCAAATAATAATTTGTGACAGTTAGTGCGGTGGACTGATTAGTGGTATCTTGTGAATCTAAGATCTTGAAGATGTGGCTTCAAACATGTTCTGTTTGCTGGACCATTTATTATACCGCCCTAACCCCCTTGGGGGTATATAAGTTATCATAACAGTGAGAGACTGGTTAGCTTGAGTTGCAGTGACTGGTCCAAGATTAGGGGAGTTAATAAAGTGAGCTCTGTCTTACGAAAGCTCATATTAGAATAAATATTAGAACAAAGTTTGAGTCCAGTGGCACCTTTAGAAGAGAAGAATAAGGGAAGAGATTGGATTTATAACCCGCCCTTCACTTGGAGTCTCAGAGCGGCTTACAAACTCCTTTCCCTTCCCCTCCCCACAACAGACACCCTGGGAGGTGGCTGGGGTTGAGAGAGCTCTGACACAAACTGCTCTTTTTCAAGGACAGCTGTGCCAGAGCTTGTGACTGACCCAAGGTCACATCAGCAGGTGCAAGTGGAGGAGTGGGGAATACTTTGTTCTAATATTTATTCTAATATGAGCTTTCGTAAGACAGAGCTCACTTTATTAACTCCCCTAATCTTGGACCAGTCACTGCAACTCAAGCTAACCAGTCTCTCACTGTTATGATAACTTATATACGCCCATTCTGCATCTAGCATTCTCTCCATTGTTTTACCAAACCCACACTGGAACAGAAAAAGATGCGGCTCAAAACCACATTCACATACCCCGGGCCAACTCTGTACTGACTGCAGAGGCACCCCTGAATGGCCATAAAGTAAAGGTAAAGGTTCCCTTGCTCGAAAGCCAGTCAAATCCGACTCTAGGGTTGTGGTGTTCATCTCCGTTTCAAAGCCGAAGAGCCAGCGCTGTCCGAAGACGTTTCCATGATCATGTGGCTGGCATGACTAAACACCAAGGCGCACGAACGCTGTTCTCTTCCCACCCAAGGGGTCCCTATTTATCTACTTGCAATTTCTTGCTTTCAAACTGCTAGGTTGGCAGGAGCTGGAACTAGAGACCGGAGCTCACTCAGTCATGCGGCACCCGGGTCTTGAACTGCTGAACTACCGACCTTCCACAGCCTGCAGTTCAGTGTCTTAACCCCTTGAGCCACCGCAGCTCCACTGAATGGCCACAGAACGGCCATAAATCTATGCAGGGGGTACCAGAAAACCAAGAAATCAAAGGAAGTGAAATTGGCATGCAGTATGGAGGCTTCCATAAAATCTGACAATCAAAGGAAGTGAAAGTGGCATGTGACGCAGAGGGGGATTTTTGTTCCAACGTGGGTTTGATAAAACAGTGGAGCGAAGGCTAGATGCAGAATGGGCCATAGTCGCCTTCATGTCACCAAACACAGTATAATTTAGCTTGCATGCAATGTTGCTCCTGTGTGGCTGCCTCATCTGTTCAGACTAGACCCCAGAGAGGCTTGTGATTAATTGACATAAAGGGTTTGAACAGAACTGGACCCTCAAACAGGGCTATTTTTGGGCAGGAACACACAGGAACGGAGTTCCGGCTGGCTCCTGATCTGGCCACACCCAGCAGGAACTCATTAGCATAATAGGCCACACCCAACAGCAGAAACTCATTAGCATAATAGGCCACACCCAACAGCAGAAACTCATTAGGATTGGCTACATTAGAGGTGTGTGCCCTAACATGCAAAGGAGTTCCTGCTACAAAAAGAGCTCTGGATTTGACAACAAGGTAAACAGAATAAGAAGCAAAAGGTGGGTGTGGCTGAATGACCACACTTCTGGTAACATGGGGGTGCGGCCTAATATGCTAATGTGCTGTGCTGTCAAGGGTTTGGCCTAATAGGCTAATGAATGTCTGCTGTTGGGTGTGGCCTATTATGCTAATGCGTTCCTGCTGGGCTTTTTCTACAAAAAAAGCCCTGCTCATACAGCTGCTGAAGAGCACTGTCACCGACACCCACACCCTCTTATAATCCATTTTACTTGGTTCTTCAGAAGGAGGTAATGATGCAAAAGTATCATTCTATGAGTCTTCTGGCTGCACATTTGTGGGACATTGATCTCATAGAATAATAAGGTAAATTCACAGAACACATGAAAACGACAAGTTTTACAGCGTTAACCAGGAAATAAAAGAGCAATCTCCCCACATAAGATTTCCGATGAGTTTTGCCCAATTGAATAGCTGTATTAAGCAGCTCTTCAGCTCCTCAACCTCTGATTGTCTTTTCGCTATTAATATAAAGCACCTCAAATTGAGGTTTTGCTCATGTCAGGACTGACTTTGCTCTGATTGTCAGAGTTCCATGTCTCATGCTCAGATTGTTCTCTGATATCAGGACCAGCATCTAGAAAAATTTCCAAGTTATGGGGGACATGTTGCATTTTTGAGCATATTGTGTAGGGGATTCTTTAATTTTGTAAGCCAATGAATAGATGTAAAGCTTAACTGGACAGAGCCGTTAAGCTCCAGGTGACACAGAAATAATGGGTAATGACTGGGATGCGAAACATTCCAGTATTTAACCTTTCTACGCTTTCAGCTGAGTCATTTCTTAAATTCTGGATACATTTCTGTTCTCTGTGGCAATTCAGTCATGACTCAAAGTAGACCACCTGGAATGTGATTTTCTATTGTGTTGTGGAGAAAGTATACGGGTGGTGTGCTTGAACACCTTTTGGTGAAGAGAACATTTCAGGTGAAGATGCAGAGACAAAAGGCACCAGGCAAGCTGAATTGTTCGGTCAGGTGAAACAGTCAAAGAAATTCCTTACTTGAAACACTCAGATTTTTCCAGTGGCCAAATGCAGTGCTAATGGGTACCATATGTATGTTACAGGAACTTTTGGGTAGATGAATGCCCTGTTCATTAGCGAAGCTGGAGGCTGCAGTAACTTCTCAGAGTCTCGTTCACTACACAGTAATAGATATATTTCTTCTTAGTGAGCCTTAAATAGCTGATTAAATAGTCATGTGATGTGAAGTGATGTCTGGTGACAATTAGTGTGACGTTCACTGTTGTAACTTCCAGACAGTAATCTAAGTACACAAAATGCCCTGAAGGAAATAAAAATAAGACGAAGTGTACTTTGTTGTGTATTTGTAGGGACAGTTTCCAGACAGTAAGATGTTCAAGAACCTCTTTACACTAGTGGGTGGTCATCATGCAAGAACCATAGTTCAAAAGAATCTATTCTTCGGTGCTCAGC